CTTTCCACAGAGGTTGCACTAGTTTGCAGTCCACCACGCAGTGTAGGAGTGTGTCGCTCTCTCTCCGATGCAGCCAACCATCTTATTCGTTTGGGATTTTTGATAAAACATTCTCACTGGAGGAGTGGACAATACGTGCAGATGAATAGCCTACTCTTACTCGTGCGTGTCATATGCTATACTTGCATGATGTTCCGAGGCTTCGCGTAGGTGGCTTGAGGGAGATCGTTGCTCGTCAGACCGAACACACACTTCTTTTGCGAAATAGGTTTAACTGCATGTGGTGCTCAAACATCCATCACCCATAGTTGCAATTTAGTGCTTGGCTGTCATATCTCCTTGATGAAGTAGCGATGTTCTAGGTCAGAATACCTCATTCTCTTGCAAGCTCCTCTTCTGATCCACTTTTTGATAGGCATCCTGATATATATTCCCATCCCATTTGGTGCCTTGTCGAGTCCCTAAGAACCAGGAGTGTTAGTATGTTACGACAGCTTTTATTATTGAGAAATGGACTGGATAGATATAGAGAGGCGGACCCTGTAATCATGTTCAGGCTTGTGAGAAGCTATATTACTCTTTTCTCGCATTCGCGCAACATATGGCACCTCTAGCTTTGTCCTCCATTCTGGCTAGGTTTCCTGTTCTGCTGAATTTTTTTGCTGATTTTCCTGCAGTTCTAAAGTAGATTCTAGTGATATCCAGCCTCTTATATTGGATATATAGGCTTGTGAAAAAGCTATATAGTCCTTTTTCCATGTCTGTGCTTCTTTCTCCCATTCTGTAGGTTTCTGTTTGTCTCTTTACAGTTTCTTGTGCTGTGCAGAAGCTTTTTAATTTGATCATGGTCCATCTTACTTTTGTTGCTATGATATGTTGGGGATCTTCTTCATAAATTCTTTGCCTAGGCCAATGTCTAGAAGAGTATTTCCAACATTTTCCTCTAGAATTCTAATAGTTTCACACCTTAGGTTTAAGTCTGTTACCCAGCGTGAGTTGATTTTTGTGAGAGGTGAAAGGTGTGGATCTTTTTTCAGTCTTCTACATGTGGCTATCCAGTTTCCCCAGCACTATTTATTGAATAAGCATTATTTTCCCCAGTGTATGTTTTTGCCTGCTTTGTCAAAAATTATATGGCTATATGAGGATGGTTTTATATGTGGGTTCTCTGTCCTGTTCTGGTGGTCAATGTCCCTGTTCTTGTGCCAGTGCAAAACTTGTAGTATAGTTTGAAGTCTGGTAAATTGATACCTCCCATTTTGTTTTTATTACCTAGGATTGCTTTTGCTACACAGGGTCTTCTCTGGTTCCATGTGAAGCATAGAACTATTTTTTCTATATCTGTGAAAAATGATGATGGTATCTTCATAGGAATTGCATGGACTCTGTAGATCACTTTGGGTAGTATAGACATTTTAACAATGTTGATTCTGCTGACCCACGTGCATGGTATGGTCTTCCTGTTTACATCCTCTGCTATTTCCTTCCTCAGTTTCTCATAGTTCTCCCTGTAGAGGTCTTTTACCTCCTTAGTTAAATGTATTCCTAGGTGCTTTATTTTCTTTGTTGCTATTGTGAAGGTAATTGAGCACTGCATTTTAACCTCTCACATTCCCTCCCATAACATTTTACATAGGTCTTTTGGTTAGCCATCTCGAGAACAATGTCATTATGGCATATATCATTCTATCATCTGATGTTTTGGAGCACTTCTGATGCTAGATAATTAAATGTTCAGGAAAAAGATCCTGATTTGTATTATTGTACATTAATTTAAGCGTTTTAGAAGTGCAATCTTCTCCAGGTTAAATATAGTTAAGAAATTGAACTATTTGATGGCTTAGGTTTCCTTTTCATTTAACGTAAGGTACATAAGGTACATATTAAGATCTAATTTTCAAAGCAAACCAATAACAATGTCCATGATATATGAAGAAAAACTCCTTCATTCACCCATTTTTTTTCTTTTACAAATATAAATAGTGTTTTGGGTTTTTTTTGAGACAGAGTCTCATTCGGTTGCCAGGCTAGAGTGCTGTGTAGTCAGACTAGCTCACAGCAACCTTAAACTCCTGGGCTCAAGCTATCCTACTGCCTCAGCCTCCTTTGTAGCTGGGACTACATGCATGCGCCACCACACCCAGCTAATTTTTTTTCTATATTTAGTTGCCCAGCTAATTTTTTTCTATTTTTAATAGAGCCAGGTCTCCTCTTGCTCAGGCTGGTCTCGAACTCATGACCTCAAGTGACCCTCCCACCTCAGCACCCCAGAGCGTTAGGATTACAAGCATGAGCCACCATTCCTGGCCCATTTTTCCTTTTTAATTTTTTTTTGTTTTGAGGAGTGAAAATAGGTTTGTTTGCCATGTATTGTGGCATATTTCTTCATTACTATTCTTACAATACCATCACTACCTTTACCCCTATGGGGATACCTAATGTTATGAAAATAACCATAACTGAAAGTCTAGGAATTAATAAAGCAAAGAATCTTCCATTTATGTCATATATAATATTGCTTAAAGCTTTCTGGAAACCATATTAAGTGTGCATTTATGGTGATGCTTATTGTAGTAAATGAAAATTTCAGAGCCTGACTGTAAACTCGAGATGCAAAACAAGAAAGAAAAAAAATCACAGAGCTTGGAACAGAATTTCAGTAATGTTGAATCCAGGTAAAAATGACAAGATATATATTGTATCATGTCACAGTGAGTTCTATGGTAGAAAGTTATCTCATTAAATGGAAGAAAAATGTAACCCAAAGCAGACTTTCTGGCAATTGTACACTTTAGTTTACTTAACTCTACAAATTTGATTTTTTAAGACAAATAATTTCTATGTGGGGAAAAGTCTTGAACATTAGTTTCCTAAACTGCCCTAAATATTTTATGACAGAATATACTACAAAAGCAAAACTTTTTTTAAGAGGAAATGTTTGTGATAATTTGAAAAATTGGTTTCATCATTGTACTTGTCAGGAATCTCCAGAGAAAGAGAACCAATACGATGTATGTGTGTGTGTGTATACATGCACATATGTGAAGAGATTTATGATAAGGAATTGGTTTGTGTGATTATGGAGATGGGCAAGTGCCAAGATCTACAGGGTGTGTCAGGAAGCTAGAGGCTCAGGGGAGACAATGGTTTAGTTCCAATCTAAGCCTAAAGGCCTAGAACCAGGAGAGCTGGTGGTGATGTTCCCATCCAAAGGCCAGCATGCTTGAGACCCAGGATGAGCCAATGTCTCAGTTTGAGTTCAGAGGCAGGAATAAAGCTGATGTCCCAGTTGGAAGGCAGTCAGGCTGGAAGAATTGTCTCTTACTAGGTAGAAGGTCAGCCTTTTTGTTCTATTCCAGCCTTCAGCTGATTGGATCAGATCCATCCACATTAGTGAGGACAATGTGCTTTGGTCAGCATACCAATGTAAATGCTAATCTCATCCAAAACCACCCTCACAGAAACACTCAGAATAACGTCTAAAAATTTTGGCACGCCATGGCCTAATTTCATCACAACTCTACCCCTTGCCAACTTTGCACCCGAATACATCTCTTTAAACCATATTTAATCTCCAAATAAAGACAATAACAAAGTCATATTCTGCCTAATATGATACAACTATTTTATGTACAATCAAAAACCACAAGCCTCTTCCCCAGAAGAGGACATAAAGTTGTTGAATCATGTTTACTCTTCTACTTGATATCCTGCGACTTAAATACTATGATATAAAGTCAGTATGTCTTCTGCCACATAAGAGAAGAGAGGGAAGAAAACAAAGATATTTGGCATATAAATTTGTGTATATACACCCTGAACACACATATATATACATATATGCATACAGACATATTCATAATAAAACAAATATCTGTACACCCTATGGTTCAGTCATAAGGAAAATCCTCAATCATTTAAATGATCCTCAAAGCTTTTGTAGACATTCATAATTTTGACTACCATTGGTTCAAAAACTGTGTACTTTACATTTCCACCCACATGCTCTTTGACCAAAGCTTCTATGCATACGTAAAATCTTCCCCAGGTGGTCTAAACTTTAGAACTATGTAAGCAGTCTCCTCAAGACAACTTGTGTTTGGAGGGAATATGTAGAAAGTGAAGATTGCTTCTTACTATATGAGATGCTATGTTTCCACCATTCTACTGAAAAATTATGTCAAAAGTTCACAATGAACTCCAAATGACTCAATCTGGTGGCCATATCCTAGTCTCACTCTGCTTAACTATATCTATAATATTTGATTATTTATTTTCAATAAAGCTTTTTCTATTCTTCTACTTCACTTTTCATGTCTTTGAAAGTTATTCTTCCTTTTGTTATTCCTCAAATAAGGACATTTGCCTGTTTTGTCCTCAGCTCATGATACATAAAATGCATTGTTAGTCTACCATAGTACATAGAAAATTGAATTAGATGTGTGAAGAACTGTGTTCAAATCCTAATCATGTTTCACACTAACTTTGTGACCTTTGACCAGTTACTTAAACTTCTAGAGTTTGTTTCCTCATCTATAAGTGGGCAGATGAAACTATTGGCCCTACCTATATTACAGGGTTATACTGAGGACCAAAAGTGATGATAGATATAAAAATTTTGGGCCGGGCGCGGTGGCTCACGCCTGTAATCCTAACACTCTGGGAGGCCGAGGCGGGCGGATTGCTCGAGGTCGGGAGTTTGAAACCAGCCTGAGCGAGACCCCGTCTCTACTAAAAATAGAAAGAAATTAATTGACCAACTAAAAGTATATATACAAAAAATTAGCCGGGCATGGTGGCGCATGCCTGTAGTCCCAGCTACTCGGGAGGCTGAGGCAGGAGGATCGCTGAGCCCAGGAGTTTGAGGTTGCTGTGAGCTAGGCTGACGCCACGGCACTCACTCTAGCCTGGACAACAAAGCGAGACTCTGTCTCAAAAAAAAAAAAAAAAAAAAGCAGAGAAGCAGAATCAATGCTGCCACCCAGTGGCCAGCTAAACAAATCAGGTAGCATACTGAAGCAAAACAGACATCATAGGCCCAAATATCTGGTTTCCCTGCCTATTATCAGGCTACCTACTCCTTATCTTTCTGCAAAAAAACCACAACATACCCAAAGCATTCCTTTCTCCAGAATCCTAGTCCAAATACTGGAATATAGCAACCCAAGTCTGTCCTGTGACACAGACTATTTCACAGGAAACTTTCCTCTGCCTATTATAAGGTCAGTTTGCCCAGTCCTATGGCCCAGAAGGTATGATACAGGAGAACACGGACACATCCAAAATGTTGATCTGTTCAGAGTGTATACACGGCGATTCTGATGTCTATTGCCTCAAATACCTCCCCGATCATCCCAGATACATTTTCCCCTTGCAGACAATCAAGACCACATCCAACCCTGGGCATGGAGAGGTCCGTGACTCCGTTCTTCAGACAATGAGACTTCATGGCCTCTAAGCTCTTTCGCAAGTTTTCATAAGTTGGCTTGTGCGAAGCCCCTTTCTTTGTAATCAAGTAATATATATATATCACCCATCTCTCTTCAGAACAGCCACTTCTCCAGATTTCTTTTGCTGATTTAACAGTTCTTGCACCCCTCCAAATTTCTTCTTGAAGAGAACAGCTATCCCAGCGCCCATGCGACAATCCTCACTAATACAGTGGGCTAAAGAGTCTGTTTTGGGGCATGCAAAAAGGTCTCCTTTCACATAAGTGATTCTGCTTCCTTCTGGATCTTCATTAAGGCTGCTGGCCATGATACTCAGTTGCTATTTCCAGAATTTAAGTGTTTCTTCAGCCGGGTCACCCTTCACCTGGAAAGGAGTCGCCAGATGTCTTTATTATAGAGTGTCTTTTGTTCTTTTGAGTAGATGCCCAGTAATGGGATTGCTGGATCAAATGGTAGATCCACTTGGTAGTATTGCTTTAAGGTATCTCCATATTGCTTTCCACAGAGGTTGCACTAGTTTGCAGTCCCACCAGCAGTGTAGGAGTGTTCCTCTCTCTCCGCATGCATGCCAACATTTATCGTTTTGGGACTTTTTGATAAAAGCCATTCTCACTGGAGATAAGTGATATCTCATTGTGGTTTTGACTTTCATTTCCCTGATGATTAGAGATGTTGAGAACCTTTTTGTATGTTTGTTGGCCATTATTCTGTCTTCTTTTGAAAAGTTTCTGTTCATGTCCTTTGACCACTTTTTGATAGTGTTGTTTGAATTTTTCTTGCTGATTTTCCTGAGTTCTAAATAGATTCTAGTTATCAGCTCTTTATTGGATATATAGCTTGTGAAAAGCTATATATCCTTTTGTAAACAGGAAGACCCATACCATGCACGTGGGTCAGCAGAATCACATTGTTAAAATCATATACTACCAAAGGATCTACAGAGTACCATGCAATCCTTGAAGATACCATCATCATTTTTCACAGATATGAGAAAAATATTCTATGCTTCACATGGAACCAGAGAAGACCCTGTGTAGCAAAGCAATCCTAGGTAATAAAAACAAAATGGTGGAGGTATCAATTTACCAGACTTCAAACTATCTACAAGTTTCACTGCACAAATACAGGACATTGACCACCAGAACAGGACAGAGAACCCACAATATAAACCATCCTATATAGCCATAAATTTTTGACAAAGCAGGCAAAACATACACTGGGGAAAATAATGCTTATTCAAAAATCTGGGAAACTGGAAGCAATGTAGAAGACTGAAAAAATCCCAACCTTTCACTCTCACAAAAAATCAATTCACGTGGGTAACAGACTTAAACCTAAGGTGTGTAAACTATATAGAATTCTAGAGGAAAATGTTGGAATATCTTCTAGACATTGGCCTAGGCAAGAGATTTATGAAGAAGACCCCAAAGGCAATCATAGCAAAACAAAAGTGAAATGGGACCCTGATTCAAATTAAAAAGCTTCTGACACAGCCAAAGAAACTGTAAAGAGAGCAAGAAAAAACCTACAGAAATGGAGAAAAGCTACAGAATGGGAG